CTGGAATTAAAAGAAAACAAACAAACAAGCAACCTCTTTGATTCACTGTAGGAGACAGGTGCAAAGAAAACAGTGTTTATGTCAATAAGCACCCTAACTAAGAAACATCTATGCAGCACTAGTTTGATACCAGCCTGCGAGCATACAGAGAAAGCTGAATAACTATGAGCAAAAGAACTGGAATGCAAGGGTACCCCCATGTATAATAACTGAAATCAGATTAAAAACAGTAGGTCATCTGAAACACTTGATAAATAGACTGTCCTTTTAGACACAGAAAGTTACAGAGCACTGAGGTTTACAATCTCACCAACTTTCAGGTCAAAGCAGTTATCAACCTTTGCTGTACCAAAGCTAGTTAAATGGAAAAAACCCTAAAGCTCAATATTCATTTTGTCTACTAGGACTTCATACACATGTAAAACACTTAGGAAATCTAATTAGAAAACAGTTTTAGAATTATACTGTCAATAAACCAAACAAAATTGTCTAAATCAATGACCAAAAGCCACAGGCTTGCTAAAAACCCTTAACATAACTTCCTGTTTAGGTTACTCAATCACCTTCTCAAACCGTGATTAAAGTTACCCTACTTCTGTAGAAGTGGAAAATACAGCATCCATTTGCAAACTTATTTATTCCAACCTCCCAAAAAGAAATAAAGAGAATTTTTTAGGTGGTTTGTTTTTCGGTGTGGTTTTTTTTTTTTAGAAACATCTACAGAACTATAGGCCAGCAGCTTCCCAGAGGCCAAAGCTGTAATAAATCACTTCCTTCTGGAAGTAAATCTTATCTGCTGCTACACACATTCAGTGATATTTACACAGGCAACAAATACTTAACATCCAGATTTATAATCCTAAAGTAACAGGAGAACCTGAAAGAGAAGCGATACAGCAGCAGGACCCCTAAATATACCATGTTATACAGGCAAAACTGTCCAGTAATACAGACCTCTGACCCAGTAGTATTTATTCTACAACCCAAAGCCATCAGCCATCAACCTGGGCAGGAGCATTTACTGATGAGGGCCAGGTGTCTTATAAAACACAGAACAGACTGTCACCATGGGCTGCAAGATGTTTAGCAACCATTATGTGTCCAAACAAACATATGCCAAAGAGGGATGTTTTTCCAGATTGCCCAGGCATATTCAAATCTGCAATATTCAGAAATATCCAGACCTACATTCATCCACTAACAGCTATTGTGAATATAGAAAAGACATGCACATGTTTTATTGAGGAAAGTAACTGTTCATTTCATGAAATATAAAATGCCATTGAGGCTTGTTTTAAGATTAGCCACCTCTTGATTATAGAGGAAGAACTTCAGAAGTCCCAAGATCAGCAAGAAGCAAGTTACCAGAGAAAAGTAATGCAGCTGCAGTTATATGGGCAGAACACACTGCTCAATGACATCCACAGTATCCCAAATAATCTAACTATAAAACAGAAGCTAATCATGTTTTAACTATCATTGTACGCTTGTTTTAACCCCTAAATAGCATACTGCTTAATATTAAGCTAAAAAGTTCCTCTCATTACTGAGCATACAGCAGGCTCTGCATGACACTTACAGGACAGTACACACTCACTCCATATTCTCAGGCTGTGAGTCTGCCCTCCCGGGGTAGCACACATCCTCTGGGGAATGCACAAACAATCCAAGGAGAAGACAGAGAAGCATGGTGTCTAATGCAAAAGCAATATCCAGAAATAGAGGTTATATTTTTATAGAGTATGGGACAAACAGCATAACCCCCCCCCAAGGCAATTTTCATACTACCCCTACATAGACATTATTTCCACTATTTGGAAAGTGTAAATTAAAACAGGAAAAAAAAAAAAAACAGTTGTCAATTTATCTTATTTTAGACAGCTTATTCAAATTCTGCAGTTCCACACAGCAGAAATGCTCTATGTAAAGTTGTTTCTATTTTGTTACTTACAGATACCTCTGCTATAGGTCAGAGTTTGACACAGCAAAGTATACAGAATAATCACAGACACAAGAAAAGTTACGTTGCTGTATTCCAGCTTGAAGATCAGGATACTTTGAAAACTACATTGAACTTTATGTCAGCTGCCCAGCAGTGAAACAAACAACTCGTATAGAAAGTAATTCTTCACCAACAGTCCTATAAATACTGTATGGCTGCATTAATGTTAAGAAGAAATAACAGCTGAAGAAAAAAAATATATATTGCAGGATGGATATAAAGAGGCAGAGAAACAAAATGTCAATTCTGAAATTTAGTAACAGAAAGACATCACTGCCTCTGTCCTTTTAAGAGGCTACAGCATCTCTTGGTGAAGAGATACGAACTACAGTACGACTAGCGTGCTGAACGTGTATCTTATTCAACCCATGCCACTGAATGCTTGAAAAATAGAAAGGCAACACTCAATGCAGTTAAAACAGCAAGACAAACATGAAAATGCTAACCAGGAAACTGGCTTCAACTTTAACTGACAGTACCCACTCATTATTATGTTTCCATAGGGCACTGGAGATACGCACTATTTTGCATTGCTTCAAGACAGTGACTGCAAAAACAGTATTAGAAAAGGGAATGGAGGAACCTTCACAGTCAGGACAAGAACCCTGGTGCGTAACCTATGCCTTTATGTCTTACAACATATAGTATGGGGAGAGAAAAGAAATGATGAAGAATTCTTAGAAAACATCCTATTTGAAGTCTCCATTAGTACATCACATATCAACTGTTCATTATTTCAAGATCATACCGCAAAGCTACCAGTCACCTCAACATCTTCACCCTGCATCAGCCAGGGTTCTCAGGGTAATCAAGACCAACCTGCTCTGGTAAGGACCTGCAGCTGAACAAGTCCAGAACATAACTTGCAGCACAAAAATTTGTAATTCTAGGACCTCGATCAATTAATAGTTTCTATGCAGATTTTAATTAAACCCAAGCTTGAGCTTACTTTGAAATAAGCACAAGATGTACCTATTCTCTCCGACTCTCCTGCAGAAGTAGCTCTGCTTTGTCTCCCTTTCTGCAAAGCAGCTTGGAAAGAGGCAAGCACATCTACACCTGTGAGGCATGGCTGGTATGCATAAAGCTTGGGTGAACAACTAGAGTGACATGGCTCACATATGCACCTACTACTCATGTGCAACAACCAGTTTCAGGCCCAACATTCAAACTATTCATTTTAATTTTCACTGCTGTAGCCGCACAAAAAAAAACAGCAGAACCATGGAGATTTAAAACAAACAAACCAAAAACAACCAACCAACCACCAACACACACACAAAAATAAAACACAAAATACACAGGTATCAATGGCCTTACTGAAACAATGAACAAACACACTTACTTAACTGTAGCTTTTACAAAATGATCTTTCCTTGGAAGAGAGGATTCAAAATTAAATTGACAGGAGTGCAAAAGAAGCAACAGGTGAAAATACACAAAGAACAGCTAGGCATGCGTAAAGTAGTCTGATGTTAGAAACAGGAATACTTCCTCACATGGGATATGATAATGTTTCATTTAGCTTTTAGACTGCTGAATTACTCTCATCAGCAGTGCAGGAGGGTGGTGATAGTCCTGAAGTTAAAAGTTCAAGTTCCTTATTTTCAACATACTGTCTTCTCATGTACATCATCTTTTAAAAGAACTACTGTGGCTAATCTCAGTCCCGTTCTTTCATTTTTTATGCGTCAAGCCTACTTTGAAAGAGCTCTGCAACAGTGCTATGCAGAAGAGATTCAGGGACCACAGTATGCTCTGTGCACAATGAATGAGCTATTTGTGCATCCTTCAGATGCACACACACACACACACACAAAAGAAAAAGTCTTAAATTGAATCTTACAGATCAGCACTGAACAAACACAACACCCAAACTGATCTGCCTGTTTCCAAAGAGACCTCAGCACAACTCACCTAGGCTTTGCATATCCCCAGACACTATGGCTTCTCTTATAATACTTCATTGTATTTCAAGTATTCCTCTCCTTCCCTCAGGGCCACTTTATAAAGATCCATAGCTGCTTTCAGTAAACATCTTCCCCATTCTCTCCACATCCCACATAATGTAAACGGGGTTGGAAAAAATCCATAGTTTTAGTTTTTCCCTCTGATATTTTTCTTCTTTCATACTTGAAGAAAAGCTTTAGCCTGTATCACACTGATACAGTCCTTGACAAGCATAAAAGTGTATTTACTTTTGTTTGATCAGAGCACAGAAGTTTCCTCACAGTACTTCCTGCGTGAGAGGAAAAGCTATAGTTACAGTTGTAAATCCCAGTCACCTCTCCCTCTGTTTTGTTGGTTTTGGTTTAAATTTCTCCCGCAATTTTCTGCTTTTGGATGTAGTTCCCTCGTACGGGTAGTCCATTATACTCATATTGTGTAAGCCCGTGCTTAGTGCCATTCCACCAATCTACTAAAACCATTATCCCGAACATTTGTTAGGGGCTCAATAAAACCAGATTCACACTCACTGACACACCTCAACCTACACTTGGATTCACTCCAATGCACTACTGATTCGCTCCTTCAGACGGTATGGGTGGGCGAAAACATGCTGACCAACAAGCAGGATCAACTGGCTCTTTCCGCAGAGTACACTAAGTTTAGTGTGCTTGAATCCCCAAAACCTTGAGATTACTCCGAGCACTCATCAAGTGTATTTAAACTGGACAACTTCACAAAACGCAGTTTGACTGAAACAATGTAACAAAGAGGAAGAAGAAGGGGATAAAAAGGGCAGAAGAAGAAAGAAACCTTAAGGTTTATCTGCCTTGATAACTGCGTGTCTCAGCACACTGTAAGCGACAGTGCTTTGAACACAGGTCAACCGTTCAGGTTCAGCGAGGGCCAGCCCTGCAGCCAGCTACCCAGGGAGAGGGCTGCAGGGAGCCCATTAACAACTGTTACACCCTCCTTTTACAGTGGAAATCACAAGTAGGAACCGTGAGGCTGCCCTCGTAGCCGTGCGGCTCCTGGACCAACGAAATCCTACCCGAGCCCTTCCTGCGAGCCCGGGGCCACCGCGCGGTGCGGCCACTCCGCCGAGACCCGCACGAATCACCGTCGTTCGCAGCCTCGCCGCTACCCTCGGCTTCAATGAGTTGCGGGGCTCGCCCTTGCGCCGAGAGCACGGGGATGCACTTTGACTGGAAGCCCTGGCGAGGGCTTCCTCAGAGGCAGCTCTGGGGCCCCTCCGGGACGGGCCCAGCCGTTTATACTCACGTATCGGCTCACGAGGGTCCGGAGGAGGCTGCAATCCATGGCGGGCTGGCGCCGCCGCCGCTGCCCGGGCACTCAGGACCGCGCCGACGGGTGCTCTCCGGTGCCGCCGGGCTCCCTGGCTCTCCTCACTTTCCACATGCAGAGAGCAACGCTCGCCCCACCAGACCGCCGTTACCCCGGCCCGGCGCTCGCCACCGACCTCGGCTATGCCATGTGCTCGCCGCCGCCGCCGTCACTGTGGCGCGGGGCCCCGCGGCCCCTCATGCCCGGCACCGGCACCACAATAAGCACTTTGGCGGAGGAGAACCAGATAGAACACCCTGCTAGCACGCCGCCCCGCTCCCGACGAGGGTTATCCCGGCGCCCAGGCACTTTAACGAGCGGGCGGGGCAGGGCACAGGGGCCGCCCCCACGCCGCTCCCCCTCACGCACGCACGCGCGCGCGCCCGTGCTCCCGGTACCCAGCCCGACCCCAAGCCCTGGCCCGGCTCGCGCAGCTCCGGCTTTGATCTCCTCGTCGGGCGGCCCCAGTCAGCGCGCGTCACGGGGCGGGCGGGGGAGAGAAACCACAGGCATGCGCGCGCCGGCACCACTGCCTCCTTTCCTCCCCTCCCCTTCTTTCCCCGTACACAGCCGGTGCTCGGTGTCGTGCCCACGGCCGTTAAGGGTGGGTAACGGCTCCCGCCCGCTCGCGGCTGGACTGAGGGCGAGCGGAGGTGGAGGGGCACATAAAACCTGCCGGGACGAGAAAAGCACTTTAAAACCTCCTGCCGGCCTTCGCACTACCCCCTCATCCCCATTCCCCCGTGTGGGTGTCGGAGAAGCGGGACGCGGGTTAGGAGAAGCGAGGCAGCCGCCTCCATGCGAGGGAAAGGAAGGAAATAAGGAAGGAAGCAAGCAAGGGGGAAGGTGAGGAGGGAGCAGCCGCCGCGCCCTTTCCGGAGCGACGGTGTTGGAGGGCGGCCCCTGGCAGCGCCGGGACGGAGGGTGACCTCCAGCCGGTGTCCAGCGTGAGGGCACTGTAGCTCTGCTGCGGTGGTTCGCCAGGGTGCGAGGTGTCCCTTGTGAGACCGCAGATGCTTTTAAATGAGTGTTACCGGTTGGAGGCGGCGGGGCTGGACTGATAAAGGCAAAAAACCCTTCTCTCGCTCCCGCTTCTCTTCCTCTGCGTCCCGGCTGCCGAGGAAGGGCAGCATTCACGGTACATGACAGCGGTGAGCTGCAGCGTTTTGTCAGGGCATGGAACAGGTGGAAGCTGCTTTGGAAAGCGCTGCAGAAGCTATAGAAGGCATCTCTTTTTTCAGTAACTGAAGCCCTGATAAGCCTACAAACAGTAGAAATGTAGGTGAAGGGATAAGAAGTCAGCAAGAATGTACACAGAGAGTAGGAATCTATCCCGGGCTTTTCAAGTTAGCTGAAATAACACTTTTGAAGGTTTTTGTTTTCATGCCATTCATACCAAAGGACTCCCTCAAGTTTGCAAGAATCCTATAGGTAGTCTCAGATAACTCATATGTTACTCTGTACACTAGATAAAAATCTGACTTGAAGCTAAATACTTTCTCCAAAATTAGTTGGAACTTACTAATTTTATCAAATTAGATATTTAGCAAAAAGTGAATTTTTTAAAAAAGCAAGATCAAAACCATTTTATTGTTGTGAAAATCCATCCCTTTCTGTAGCAATGAACATGTAAGCTGTCCCTTATCTCCTAGCTCATGGCCAAAACTAGGCAGTTTTTCCTCTATGTGTTGTCACAATTCAGTAGTTCTTCGGATACCATAAAATCTAAATCAAAGAACAACTGAATCTCTTACACAGTGGAAAAAACTTAGATTATGCTTTTTGAGATCATCACATAAATGCTAAGAGAAAGGACACAGGACTGATTCTTTACAGGTCACCTTTAATTTAAACGCATCATATATGTTCAGCATTTTTTTATTACTGGTCGGATTGAAAAATTTGTAATGCGCACTAAGTGCAGTGTGGTCAACCTAATGTTGCTGTTCAAACTCTGAAATGATTTTAGTCTAAACCTCAGTTTTCTTCATCTTGGTCACTACAAATAATTTATATTCATTTTGCAGCATCTCCTGTTTTCATGCTCCTATTTACAGACCCAACACTTCTGTAACATAGGTTTGGGTGCTTACATTTCACTTTCAAGGCATGACCACTGAAACAGAAAAGGAATGAAAAGCTGTGAAACAACAGAAATTTCTCACAAAATTTGTAATTCTGGATGAGTCAAATCTACATTCTTACCTGTTTGCATGAACGATTACATATTAAAATAATACTGTGTGTTTCATCAGTCTTTAGGAAACTGGTTTAGTACAAAAAGCATAGAAGAACCTAATTAATGAACATGAAGTGATAATGTCAAAATACATAGATTGCAAAGCTGAAAGCAGAAATTGTTTCAGTTGTTTTTTAGGATTATTCTCTGCCTAGCCATTCCATTTTCAAAGAATTCATGGAATATTCATATTTCATCATGTTTTATTGTTTCATAATATTATATTACTTTAGTCAAATTGTGACATTTAATCAATCCAGTGTCTTTAATGACAATGCTTCTTACACAGATTTGGAATAAAAGCAGACTTTGAAATTATGCAGAAAACTGTTTGTTTGTTTGGGATTTTTAATTTTCTTTCTTTTAATACTTGCAATAGCTTCTTTCATCCAAATACCACAACGTATTTTCCATGTAAGTAAGCGTAATTTCTTCATAGAGTAGGTAATAACTCCTGTGTGTTAAAACCCACAATTATCTCTACATTGTTTCCATTAGAAAACCTGTGTGGGGTGCCCATGCTGTTTGGTGCACCGCAAGCAGCCGTTATGAAGGCAGGGAGCTTCACCTAATGATCTGGTAGCAGTTAACACTCAGTGGTGATCATGATCATTGCAAGGACAGCTGTGAGCTTCTGAGCTTCTTGCTGTGTCTCCAGCTTAGGTAACCTAGATGAGGCTGCAAGAAACATTTCCCTTCCATCCAGAGCACTGGTAAGTCCCCTGTGGGTGTAAAGGTTGACTGTATTCTCTTAAGGTGAAAAGGGGACCAGGGTTCCTGTTCTCACTGACTCTTCCAGTCAAGGGCAGGGGGAAGGGAAATAGACACTCAGATACATATTTGCCATTTCCAGACTACTGCTCAAGCTAAGCTGAGCCATTTTTCTGCCTTTCCCAGTGAACCCGTGGCAGTATGCTGCCAAGGAAAACAGAAAAGGAGCACAGCTGGATCTGGGCACATACTGAGGTGAAATCCCAGCCTGCACTAGTTGTCCTTTGTGCCCGTATTTCTGCAAAGAGGAAATCTAAATGTGCAGTCCAGATAAAAGCACTGATAGGCCACTGAAAGTTAAGACAGCACACCGCTGCTGACTGAGTGGTGTTTGTGCAAGAAGAACTGAACAGCAGATATATATGCCTTTTTGGAGTAACAAGCAACTGAGCACAGTGCTTAGGTTGTACTTTCAGGCTTAGGTACCTCAAAGCTGCCTAAGTCAGGTGTAAAGTGCCTGAGTCCTTTATTGGATCTAGCCTGAAGTGACCTGCTAAAGGTCACATTGTGACGTAACAGTCGAGCCAAAAGAGCAGCCTTAGTCATATGGTCATGGATCTGTTCTGCCTATTATGCAATGTTTCACTTTGAAGCAATTTATTAAACTAATAGTCTTTGAGTATACCATCACATTTATTTCACTCCTCATTTCTCATTTTAAAAATAAATTCCTAAAATTACCTGTATGCTGTCTCTATCTTGCGTGACCAAGCTGTCTTTTCTAAATGTCTTGCTTCTTTTCTGACTGCACATTAGACCTCCTCCTCTATTGCTCTCCATTTCTACCTCATATTCTTACTGAACGATTCCTTCTGATTCATTACTGAATTACTCTCAGCCAACTCCTACCTGCCCAGCTGATTTACCAAATGTTCTAGATCCTACCACTTACACAGATTCTCACATCCCTTCTGATTTACTTACTCTATCAGCGCAACTCTGCTTAAAACATCCCATTATTTGTTTAAATAGCATTAGATATCAAGTTGAACGTGGTAGTGTGCAAAAGACTTACTCTTCTTATGTGCAGCTGTGTTTTCTGCTACTTTGCAATCCTTGGTGGGCTGCCCTGTTTTATAACTGCAGTCAAAATGTTGAGAGACTAGTCCACCAAGGGCAGCAGCTCACTTCATGCTGAATTCTCTTCCTGAAGCAGTGATAGTCCATGGTTTAGTCTACTTCAGCTTTGAAAGGTAAGAAGGCAGGATTTAGAGGTGGATCTCAATAAAGTTCCACAGTTACCACAGGCACAATGGTGATATAGTAGACATCAAAGTAATACAGTAGACATCAAAGGCACTGGAGTTCTAGATTTTAAGATGTTTAACATCTGTTATTCCTGCTCTGTATTATGTTATAGTGACTGTGTACCTCTAGTAGTTCTGGCCAAAGTGACTAAAAACTGTAAGTGGTAAAGTTGGCTTGGGCATGTGTGAGAACAGTCTGAGAAGAGGGAGATGACAGGGATTGAAAAGCCATTTATTGTATGCAGCTCATCTGCTTAAGGAAATGGTGTATTCTTTGAAGGAAATAGTTTATCCTGCAGTACTCCTGGCTTTTCCCCTACAAATTTATCACTTCTTAATTGTGTCTTTCCCTCTATTATGTTTCTGAAAAGCTAATCAAAAGAACCACTTCTTCTCTTTCTTGCATCTACACCATATATTTCAACTAGTTAATTTGTATTAACAAGGGAAATTGTTCCCTTGGTGGAACAGATGTTTATGCTTTGCTCTATTGCAAACAGTATTTTCTCAGATCCTTCTGAATATTGTTTGTGAAAAG